AGGGGATCTCGTAGTCGAGCAGTCTCGACTAGAGCTTTCTTACTTGTTTATATAATAGAGTGGTTGACAGTTATATGTGCTTACATTTTGGGTTAATGGACTGCGCTCTTAGACCTTCTATGCTGCCAGATAGATTGCTAGCTGATTTACATGATCTAGCTTCTGGTGGTACCATCCGCTGAGTCTGTGTACTTCATCTTCTGCGTAAGGAGTAACGGGGTATCTGTGATGGATCGATTTCTTGACGAATGGGGGAACATCCACAGAACGGCACAGGAATATGTTTTGAAATCGTTGAAGTATTTTAATATTGAAAAGCGAGTCCGTTCGCCATGATTGAATGCCGTAGGTCTAGACTAGTTTCAAAATGGGTTTATAAAGTAATCGTTTGTTCTTCACGCTGAACTACGACTCTCTGCCAAGTAGCCAGTGCATTTTGCGGATTTGTAAGGTTTAAGTGTTTCTTTTTTTTTTTCTTGAAAGATTGAGTTCGAGAATACAAAGAAACTCCCTTTAAGGCAAACAAGAAGGTGGGTGTGTTTCCTGGTTATTTATTTGCTTCCTGTTCTACAGTTAATATAGAGAACACATTGTTCCTGATTTTCATCAAAATATTAGTTTTATTACAAATATAAATTTTTCCTTATTGCTAATTTTTACCATATTAAAACAAGACACACGAGTGAGGAGGGGTAAATATTATTGAGAACCAAACAAATATATCCGCAACCAAAGAACTGAATGTTGGATCATTAAAAAGCTTTATTTAAAAAGCAAAACGCTGACCCATGTGCAAATTAAGCCAATCATCTAGAACTTCGAGGTCTTGATTAGATTTAGAGCTTCGGTAAGCATGCGTCCGAAATCGGCATGCACCAGGGTAAAGTTCTTAACCGCACGCTCTTGCAAGAACTGACTAGCGTTGCTCAAATTGTCGGCTATGTTCTGCACTAAACGTTTCTTAGCACAATTGTCGAGGACATGCACCCAGAAGTCGGTGACCTGACCATAATTATCCTCCGTGTCGCCGCTGCTGTAGCGATAAACATCACCGGTCACCGGGCAACAAGTAGATAAGGCACGAGCCCGTGGGCATTCCTGCGGACCGTTAAACGAATTTGGGAAATAGTTGGGAGCTCCATCCTGATTGTCGGTGGCATTCATGAGGCCATCCCGTTGATAATTATTGACCTTAACGCGATATGGACAGTTGACTGGTATCTGCAAATAGTTAGGTCCCAAGCGATGACGATGTGTATCGGAGTAAGAGAATAGACGGCCCTGTAACATCTTATCCGGAGATGGCTCAATCCCAGGCACCAAATGCGCGGGGCTAAACGCTATTTGCTCCACCTCGGCAAAGTAGTTCTTTGGATTGCGATCTAGCACCATTTTTCCCACTGGTATCAATGGGTACTCCTTGTGGGACCAAACCTTGGTCACATCAAACGGATTGTACTTGAACTTCTTGGCCTCCTCGAAGGTCATCACCTGAATATAAAATGTCCAACTGGGAAATTTGCAGGTCTTGATGCGGTTGTACAAATCACGTATGCTATAGTCTGGGTCACTCGACGCTAGATCAGATGCGGTCTTCACGTCCAAGTTCTTAATGCCCTGATCTGTCTTGAAGTGGAATTTCGCGTAAACAGGCTCACCCTTGGCATTGACCAACTTAAAGGTGTGCGATCCATAGCCATTCATATGACAAAATCCGTCAGGTGTTCCACGGTCACTAAACAGGAACGAAACCTGGTGGGTGGATTCAGGGCGCAGGGTCAAGAAGTCCCAAAACATATCGGCATCTTTCAAGTGCGTCTGCGGGTTCCGCTTCTGGGTATGTATGAAACTGGGAAACAGTATAGGATCGCGGATAAAGAAAATAGGCGTATTGTTGCCCACTAGATCCCATATGCCATCATCCGTATAAAACTTAACAGCAAATCCTCGAGGATCCCGTACCGTATCCGCCGAGCCGCTTTCGCCGCCCACCGTTGAGAAACGAACGGCTACAGGGGTACGCTTCTTGACCTTCTCAAACATTTTGGCAGCGCAATACTTAGTGATGTCGTGAGTAACCTCAAAGTAACCAAACGCACCGCCGCCCTTCGCATGAACCACACGCTCAGGTATGCGTTCGCGATCAAAGTGAGCCATTTCGTCTAGGAAATTTACATCCTGTAACAGGATCGGACCGCGAGGACCAACCGTTTGCGTTGCGTCCTTAATTCCAATGGGTGCGCCACTGCCAGTAGTAACTACGCCTGCGGATTCCTACCAATAAAACAAAACATTATTTCAAGATTTCTATTTTAAATAAACATATAAAACGTCTTTCTCGATTTGTTTTGGTTCTTAATATATGTAGATTACCTAATTTTTTCAATTTTATCTAGATGTTATTTGCTTAGAGCGTGTGCATCGCATTTAACAGTCAGCTGATCTAGCAATGCACCGCATATAGAAAAGCGTACTCTACACAGGAATATATTAGCAAATGCTTATAATGTATGATACTTTGTTCTGAACTAGGGTGCAGCAGTTGCCGCTCCCCGGAATAGTTTATCAGTTATTCTACACGTAGCGCACATTGTCTGTTTACTAATGGTGTCTAAAAGATTCAGCGTTGAGTAATAATGAAAATTACCGAACTGATTAAGTTCAGTTCAAATTAAGTGAAATAAGTGAGGTGTTGCTCAATTATTTGTATACCCTGAATCCATTGAAAATGGAAAATTAGGATATAATGGTTTTGTTGAAATATATGTTAGAGGCAGAAGGAGGCGTGGCATATCCCACAAAGTATATATTTTCTTGATCAGGGCGACGAGCTGAGTCGATTTGGCGTCAATCTCAGAAGATATAAGACCTAGAGACTTCAAATTTTTTTAAATGTCCGTATATATAGCGCTCATATCGAGCTCTATTTAAGGCTAGATTCTCGAAAATGAAAATATATATTTAGATGCATTTAATACAATTTCTATTTTTCTTAAAATTTAGCGAATATAATTTAGATTTTTACTATGAATACTTTATCTACGGACTTTGAATTTTAAACCCAGAGAGTACTAAATTAAGTATATTATCACGTCTTATCGCTCGCAAAGAAACAGCTATAAGGGGACATATGACTATCGACACAACGAAAATATAAAGACATTGGGGGTCTAAATAGAAAACATTTTTCGCCAGCTCACCATTAGTTGCTGAAACTAATAAGATAATGTGCACCAGCTCTTCAATAACTGGCATATAGAGTATATACGTATGCCATAGCACTATTTTCTATTTTGTACTGTTGATTTGCAATCGAAAGCGCTTGCACTTTGAGTCTGAAATAAATTAATGAGGGGCCGCTTGGGAGGGCGCTATTTGAAAGATAATAAGTAGCAGACAATAGGGGGTTCGTTGTGTGTGCGTGTCTAAAGAGCAAATTGATGATAAGACTATCGACCGATAGTACAAAAACATAAAGACTTAAAGTTATAATTGACGTTACTATAACTTAAAAAAAAAAAAGAACAAAAAAAATTAATTTACAGAAAATTTGTTTGCATGTATCAAAAATGGTTAAAGCTACTCAGAAGCATTGCAATATATAAATTTATATAAACAATATCAGGCATTCCCGTAAACAAAGTTAAAACAAAGTGTTTGTTTCAGTCAGCGTATAAATAGACGTATTTGAATAACGCATGACAAAATGCAGTTTCTCGCCAGTCTCCATAAAGTCAGTCAAAAACAGCAACAACACGAACATATTTGTGGGTCTAAAGCTTTCAATGCGAAATTTCGAAACATATTCTCACATATGTATGTGGTTGAAACCGAGTGGCAAATGGATTGCATAACCAAATGCTGCAGCTAATTGTTTTAATTTGTTTGTTTATTTGCAATAAGGCAGACCTTCAATTCCTCTAATTTGTATCGAACTAGTTTGATCGGGTTCAACGTCTTTGTAAATGGTCTCTATCTCTGTTTCTCCTTCACTGCATGCCACTTTCAAATGATAGCAACCAGTTTTATGCAATATCGAAGTGAAAACCTTGCTGGTTGCAACTGCTCGAAGGCCCGTTTAAAAATGCAGTTTGGAAAAGCATTTAAAAGT